TCATGACCTGAGCCGAAGGCAGATACTTAACTGACTGAACCACCCAGGCGCCCCAGGCTTCTTTGATTTCTATGAAGAGATAGTTGCTTACAATTTTATGAGAAAAACAAAGATCTATATCCTTCCTTTAAAAAAAAAAAAGATTGTATTTATTTATTTTGAGAGAGAGAGGGAGGGAGCACAGCCAGGGGAGGGGGGTGACAGAGGGAGAGGGAGAAGCAGGCTCCCCGCTGAGCAGGAAGCACAATGCAGGGCTCCATCCCAGGACCCTGGGATCATGACCTGAGCCGAAGGCAGACACTTACCCGACTGAGTCACCAGGTGTCCCGATCTATATCTTCTGTAGTCTCTTTTTTCCTCCATATATTAGTCACCCTCTGGGCAAAGTAACTGCTGCTGCTCCTCTTGGCCACAATGTGGAATTTTGGTTTTGCTAAACCTCTTTTTCTAGACCATTGCTATTTCCACTGTACTCTTTTTTAAAATTAAAACATATTGAATAGAGATTTTGTAAGCTGTTAGGACTTAGGATACAGTGAACCTTGTACCTCCACTGAGTTAAAAAAAAATTTTGTTTTTAGATTTTTTAAATTTAAATTCAATTAACTAACTTATAGTGTATTATTAGTTTCAGGGGTAGAGTTTAGTGATTCATCAGTCTTATATAACACCCAGTGCTCATTGTATTGTGTGCCCTCCTAAATGTCCATCACCCAGTTACCCCATCAGCCCACCTCCCAAAATTATCATCTTTGAAATAGTTTGTATGCCTTCCCCAGATCCCCTTTCTTCTCCCATCAAAGGTAATGATCATCCTTGTGCTTATCCTTCTTTTCTTTATAGTTTTATTGACTATTCCTAAATAATATATTAAAACTACGTAAATGGAGACTGTATAAGTGTGTGTGTGTGGAAGGGGATGTTCTACTTTTTATTTTTTTAGCTTAATATTCTTGAGTTTCATCTGTGTCTGTATGTGCAATATTCCATTGTACAGCCATAATGACAGGTTTTTCCCCACCACTATAGTAAAGCAAATATCTCAATAAAGGGAGTCAAGTCAATTTTTTGGTTTCCAGTGCATAAAAGCTATATTTACGCTATACTATAGTGCGTTAATCGTGCAATAGCATTATGTTTTTTAAAAATGTATATACCCTAATTAAAAAATAACTTACTGCTAAAAAAAAAAATGCTAACCATTATTTGGGCTTTTAGTGAGTCATAATCTTTTTGCTGGTAGAGGGTCTTAGCTCGATGTTGATGGCTGCTGATGGCTGGGATGGCTGTGGCAATTTCCTAAAATAAGACAACAGTGAAGTTTGCTGCATCAATTGAGCCTTCCTTTCATGAATGATTTCTCTGTAGCATGTGATCCTGTTTGATAGCATTTTACCCACAGTAGAACTTCATTTAAAATTGGAGTCAATCCTGTTAAACCCTGCCACTGCTTTATCAACAAAGTTATATAATACTCTAATTTTTTGTTGTCATTTCGACAGTCTTCGCAGCATCTTCACCGGGAATAGATTCCAGCTCAAGAAACTACTTTCTTTGCTCATCCATAAGAACCAATTTCACATCATTTAGCTTTTATTATGAAATTACAGCAATTTACTCAAATCTTCAGGTTTGACTCCTAATTCTAGTTCTCTGGCGATTTCCACCACATCGGCAGTTACTTGCTCCACTGAAGTCTTGAAACCCCTCAGTCATCTATAAAGATTGGAATCAGTTTCTTCCAGAATCCTGTTAATGTTGATTTCGGCCTTTTCCCGTGAATCAGGAATGTTCTTTTTTTTTTAATTTTATTTTTAATTTTATTTATTAGAGAGAGAGAGCACAAGAGGGGGTAGGGTCAGAGGGAGAAGCAGACTCCCCGCCGAGCAGGGAGCCAGATGCGGGACTCGATCCCACCTGAGCCGAAGGCAGTCGCCTAACCAACTGAGCCACCCAGGCACCCTCAGGAATGTTCTTAATAGCATCGAAAATGGTGAATCATTTCCAGAAAGTTTTCAATTTACTTAGCCCAGATCCATCAGAGGAATCATTCTCTATAGCAGTCATAGCCATATTTCTGAAATAATAAGACTTGAAAGTCTAAATTACTCCTTGATTCGTGGGCTGCAGAATGGGCATTGTGTTAGCAGGCACAAAAGCAACATTAATCTCATTATACATCTCCTTCAGAGCCCTTGGGTGACCAGGTGCATTGTCAAGGAGCAGTAATATTTTGAAAGAAATCTCTTTTTGAGCAATAAGTCTCAACAGTGGGCTTAAAATATTCAGTAAACCATGTTGTAAACAGATGTGCTGTCATTCAGGGTTTGTTTTTCCATTTAGAGAGCACAGGCAGAGTAGATTTAGCATCATTCTTAAGGACCCTAGGATTTTTGGAATGGTCAGTGTGCAGTGCCTTCAACTTCAACCTCTAACAAGAGTCGGCCTGTCCTTTGAAGCCAGGCATTGATTTCTCCTCTCTAGCTCTGAAAGTCCCAGATGGCATTTTCTTCCAATAGAAGGCTGCTTTAATCTACATTGTAAATCTGCTGTTAGTTTAACCACCTTCATTAAGGAAGTTAGCTTGATCTTCCGGATAACTTGCTGCAGCTTCTCCATCAACACTTGCTGCTTCACCTTGCACTGTTATGTTATGGAGACAGCTTCTTTCTTTAACCTCATGAACCAACCTCTGCTGGCTTCAAACTTCTGCTGCTCCTTCCTCACATCTCTCAGACTGCATAGAATTCAAGAGAGTGAGGATTTTGCTCTGGATTAGGCTTAGGCTTAAGGGAATGTCGTGGCTGGTTTGATCTTCATTCCAGACCATTTAAACTTTCTCCATGTCAGCAGTAAGGCTGTTTCACTTTGTTATCATTTGTGTGTTCACTGGAGCAGCACTTTTAATTTCCCTCAAGAACTTTTCCTTCACATTCACAACTCAGCTGTTCGGTGCAAGAGGCCTTGTTTTCAGCCTGTCAGCTTTGGACATGCTTTTCGCACTAAGCATAATCATTTCCAGCTTTTGATTTAAAGTGAGAGGCGTGCAGCCCTTCCTCTCACTTGAATATTTAGGGACCATTGTGGGGTTATTAATTCGCCTGATTTCCATCTTGTTTTGTCTCCGAATAGGGAGGCCCGAGGAGAGGCCGAGAGATGGAGGAACAGCCAGTCAGTGGGGCAGTCAGAACACACACAACATTCATCAAGTTCACTGTCTTATATGGCCATGGTCTCGGACACCCTAAAACAGTAACAGTCGTAACATCAAAGATCACTGATCATAGATTATCATGGCAAATATAATTAATAATGGCAAAGTTTAAAATATTGTGAGAATTTCCAAAATGTAACATAGAGACACAAAGTGAGCAAATGCTGTTGGAAAAATGGTGCTGACAGACTTGCTTGATGCAGGGTTGCCACAAACCTTCAGTAAAAATGCAGTATCTGAGAAGCATAGTGAAGTGCAATAAAACGAGGTATGCCTGTACCTCGATTTATTTATCCATTTTACTGTTCATGGCCATTTTGGCTGTTTTGTTATTGCATGCAGTACTACCGTGAATATTTTCATTCATGTGTTTAAGCACAAATGTGCAAATTTTCTAGGGTATATACTTAAGAGTGGAATTACTGAGTTGTAGGAAACACACATCTTCAGCTTTACTAGGTAATGCCAAATTAATTCCAAAAGTGGTTGTACTAATTTATGCTTCTATGGTATAAGGATTCAAATTATTTTTTTGTTCTTTTTATTGGGCATGTACAGCAGTAAATAAAGACTAAAAACCTTGTTCTCGAGTGTATATTTTCACAGAAACAAATAGCTAGAATATTTAATATATCAAAATGGAAAATATAAAGCAAGGAGAAGGGGATGTTATCTTGGCTGCTGTTGGATCCATATGGGGATTAGAGATTAAGGCGATGAAGTACAACCAGGAAGCCCTGGGCTTCGTTTAGTAGTCACCATAAACAGAGCTACAGGTATGATGAGATTGGCCGGTCCTGATTCTTTCAAGCCATTAATGGTAGTGAAGCTATGAGTGGGGCAGGGGGGCAGTGGAGTCTGAGAATCGTGCTGGGAGCATTTTCAGGAGGCCCTCTTTACTCATTTATTAGTGGTAAGGCTAAGGAATGAGCGAGGAGGCTGGTGGATAAGTAATCTTATTCTGAGCTCTTGCCCATGGTGATTTAGAGGACCGGGGAGGGGCTGTCTTGTCTGAAACATAAGGAACACTAAAGTTCTCTTAATTCAGGAATACTTGGAGCTCTAATGCTTTGTTGACTGTTGAAATTGGAGAAATGAAGGTTGGGGGAGGGTGGACTTATTCTGAGTATTTGGAGCTTTAGGGCTCTGACACTGCCAATGGAGATGTGGAATCCTGGGGGTGGTGGGGTGGTTTTGCCTAGAGTATATACAACACCAGTTGTCAAACTTGATAATTTTTGCCATGAAATAGTATCTTGTTGTGATTTAATTGCATATCCCCTTTTCACTCTAAAAACCCAAAATTCTTTATCTTTTCAATGTTATACTTGCCATATAACTTTACTATTAACTTTTATGTTGAACCCCATGGTTGTGTGGGTTTTATTCATTGTCTGTTCCATGTACTAAACATGCAAGATTTCCCAATTCAACAACTGAAACTTTTGTGGTGCCTCTTGTCAGTAGACCCTCAGGGAAATTTGTTATGCCCTGTATCGTCACTACAAAGGTTATTGAGTCAGGAACCCTGCCATACCTTCTGTTAACTTTGCCTGAGGAGCTGAGTTGGTAGCCCACACCTGTACATTGTTACCTAACCTCAAAAAATACTTCAGTGTACCCTTCACTGACCTGTCTACCCTCATCCTGGGCTCTCATCAAAATAGGAGCCCTGTGTTGTAGCACTGTCAGAGGCTCTTCGGTTGCCTTTTAAACTTGCCATTTTAAAATCTGAGAATCACAGCTACTGTTGACAGTCTGTAAGGAAAATGTTTTGTCTGACCACAACTAAGGCTGTCACTCCTCTGCTTTTCAGGCCAAATCTTTATACAGTTTTAGCACTCACGCCTTCCCCAGTGTCTCTACGTGCTCTCACAGGATCAAGCCTCAGAAATCACAAAAAGAACACTGGAGAAAAGCAAGGTATATGTCGTATTGTGGTATGTAGCACTTCCTAGGTGGCTATGCAGTTGTTGATACATCCTAGGACCCCACCTTTTTTACTTGTTAAATTCAGTGTCATGAAGGAGTATAAAAATGATAGTATCTGCAAATTCCAACTGATTTCTAAATGTTTTCCAAGAATTGCTCGGAACTGTTGCTCAAGACTATACTTTACTTGCTTTCTTAAATTTGTAATGTGCATAAACCTATAAAGATAGATGTGGGTAATGAGACATGCCCTCTTGGTTTCTTTTTCAGCCTTCAAAAGGATTTCCTCTCAACTTCCTAGAGTTAGCTATTAAGAATATTTCCTGATGATTTTGTAAGCATTTTCCTGGATGGATTAAAGTCTGTTATAGAAAAGCTGTCACCATTGTTAATGTTATCCCACACATTACAGGAATACCATATATGGTACCCATTTCACAGAAAAGATACACGAGAAATCTCAAGAGTTTTACTAGATTAAACGTAATGATACACACTTTACTAGTACTAGAGTGCAGAAGGAGTTAGAAAAAAGAAACATAATCCTAAAAATATTAAGCTAGTACAAAAATTTTTTTAAAGATTTTGTTTGAGAGGGAGAGGGAGAAACAGATTCTCCGCTGAGCAGGGTTTCCGACATGGGGCTCAATCCCAGGACCCTGGGATCATGACCTGAGCTGAAGGCAGAGGCTTAACCGACTGAGCCATCCAGGCGTCCCAAGCTAGTACGAATCTTAAGTGAACCAAAACCCTTCCTAGTGCCCAAAATAAGCATAAGAATAACTCCCAGTGGATAAATTGGTGTGGATCCCCTATGAAATTGTCATAAAGAGACCCACAAGACAATTTTCATCCACCTTGACTGGCCCAAATGATTTCCAAGTGCATGTTTCTAATATTGTGAGCAACTCAAAGCCTATATGAGTCGTCTGAAGTTTTATCATTTACAGGTGTGTGAAGCATTCCCAGACGCTTCAACCAACTCAGCATCAACTACTTCTCTGTGACTGGGTCCTGCCAAGAAAGACTTCATTGGATCCACGCTCAAGAGGACTCTACTAGGTTTTCCTGACCCCCTACATTGCTGTAAAGTGCCAAGGCCTTAAGACTTGGGTACGTGTATTACAACGGCAAGTGCCAGCGCCCACAAAAGACCCATTGGACCTGTCAGCTCCTTTTGTTTCACCAAGCAGACATAATAACTTACCAGCAAAGCAGAGTAAGCCAAGTGCCTCTGCATGACACCACCAGCTGATAACACACAAGAAAAAATAACCAATTTAGACTAGAGCCCTATCTTTTCTTGAGAAGCTGGGATTTGAAGGAGCTATTCTGAGATCTGTGCTGCTAGTGAGTGACTGATAACATTATAGACTGGATCGGTCCCTTGAGTTCAGAGACTGAGTTGCAATTGAGTGAAAAATAGACAACGAAATCTTGAAGAATTGCACGGAGGTGCAAGCCAAATTTAACTCCGGTCGCCAAGTATTGTTGGTTGGACTGAGAAATTGCTAAACCAGACCTGTAATAGGACTGGTTGTTTGGGTATCTCTCTTTGTCATTGTTGCCTTTTACTGTTACATTGCTTTCTGTGTTATCTCTCTAAGCCCAGATGTTCTCAGATAATTCACATTGCCCGGACTGTGGACAACAGTGGTTCCCTAGTTTAGAACTAGGCCATTGGTTGTACCAAACTGAACTTGTTGAAAATGAGTGTTACCAAGTATTCTTAGACCGTATTAACAGAGCGGATTATTGCCCAGAGTGTTACCCTGATAATCCTGCTAATAGAAGCCTTGTTCTTCCTTGGTCTTTCCCACTTGAGTGGGCGCCCCAAAATCTTACTAGATGGACCTTTGAAAAAGCTTGCCACCCGTTTCTTCTGGGTCCTCCACTGGTTAGAAAAAGGATACATGACTCTAGAGTAGCTGGCTTTAACCCTGCATTGCAGTTAATCTTGACCAGAACAGACAAAACCTTGAACAAAAAACTTGGCCAAAACAAATAACTTCTTAAGCAGTCAAAATCATGGAGACTCTAGAGTTTGTACTAGTAGCTCAAGGAAGACTGGGAAAATGACTCTTTTTCTAAATCTGATCTGGACTGTCACTACTTTGGGGAATTGCTTAAATTGTTGGATCTGCTCCCATCGTCTACACATATTTTGTTCAGCATGAATTTAATCAGTATTCCAGTCAGACTGTTCATCTAGAACCAGTCTAATCTACGTTCCCTATGTTTGGGAATTAGCTTACCCATCCTAAAAAGCTCCACAGCCTTATTACGGATGTATGACAGGATAGTCCTGGAGGAGAGGCCCTGTACTGTGTGTACCATAATGATACTTTTAGTGATAACTTTTGTGGGAAAGCATCTTTGTAGCTGGATTATAAATTATTCCAGTAAACAACTAGATATTTTAATAAGAAACTGCATTGTTCTCCATTCCACCTCTTATACATTAACCAGTGGTAATATCTACATAGGATACACACAAACATGCAGAAATGCCACTGTCTTTACTTACTGACTCTACATAGCAAAGGCTATCCTGTTTTTGTGGTGACTGAAGTTTGAATGTCCTCCTCTGGAAATGGAAAAGTATGAGATAGGTGACAAAAGGAGTTATCAAGCTTGACTCCATAGACACTATGAGGAAGCATCTTTCTGAGAACTAAGAATGTCTTGCTGGACATTGACCACATTCTGGCCTTCACCTGTTGATGAGAATCATGGAACTAGAGTATAGGAGAAACTTAGAAAAATCTGAAAACATCTCAGAGGCCATTGAACAATTTTTAAATTCCACTTAAGATACTAGATAATCCAGTGCTTGTGTAGCAGCTGAACAATGTTCCTAAGATCCCAGGCTCTTTCTATTCTTCCCCACTGGGATCCTTACCGTGGTGGCTTTTTGTCCTCATAGTTGTTTCTTCAGTGAGTATAGTGTGGCTGTTACTGTTCCAGACATTTCATTCGCAATCAAAGGCTGGAAATACGAAGCAAAAGCTTTTTCCTTTCAAGTCTGTGTCTTTTATTTGGGGAAAAAGGTCTTTCTCAAAAGGCCCTCACAGATTTCTCCTTATATCTCATTAGAATGTACTGGTTCACAAGCCTGGGAAGCCCAGCAGAGGGGAAGGGGGTTAGCAGTGCCTGGGTAGGGCCCATTGTCTCCCCTAATAAAATCATGGCTCTTTTAGGAAGGGAGAAGGAAGGAATGAATAGCTGTTGGTATGCAACAAATCATGCCTGCCACAAGTTGTGAAACCTAAAGTTATTTGTTCGTCTGTATAAAGGATGTACCCCAGAGACCTACCCTGTGTCTGCCTTATGTCTGTCACAATGGAAGTTCTCTCCTGTTACATTGCTGAATAAACTGTGTGGACTGCTAAATTGAATGAAGACTAGTTAGTTTATCATTGACCCTTGGTTAAGAACTCCTTTACTGTCCTAAAGCTCTTTCTACAAAGTGAAAATTTACTTAGAGCTATTGCTTTTGATCACTATTATTGGTCCCTAAATTTTTTCAAACACGTATTGACAAACACTCTACATACATGCAATTTTAAGTATCAGCAAAATGTTTTAACCAAAGATTGTTTTAACCAGTCTCTCCTTTAAATAGTTAAGAAAAAGTAAATGGATTTGTACTGTTGATTTTCACATCAGTACCTGGATGAGCTTGTCAGAACTTGGACATTTCTTGATCTTAGAGAAATTTTGATTCCTTAGGTTGCTCACAGGCCCCGGGAATCTGCATTTCTAAGTAGTGGTGCAGGAGATTCTTAGGCAGGTGCTCTATGGATACTTTGAGAAGTACAATAGCAGCACCTCCATGGTGTTTAATTACCTGGCTTCAAAGGATGGGAAATGAGTACTCATAATACCGCAAGGTAGTGATAGTTATTGTACTTTGCTTGTGCCATATAAAGAGGTTTTATGTCAGACTGCAGGTAGGTCACTGTGGATATTTCAGATTATAACTCAGTCACATTTTTCTCATTACAATAATCAGGACTGTTGTAGTTCCGTGTGGTGTCATTATAAGCTTTGTAAGTATATGGGCAGGAGAAAGGAATCAAAAATATTAACTCAAATATTAAGAATACTTTCCCTTCACACATGGTTATATTATCATATACCTTTTACATGGTCAGCTCTCAGAAATAACATGTGGCAGAGTTCATAAAATTGAGCAAAGAAGAAAATTTAGAGAACTTTGTAGCTCTTCAGCTTAATAAGTCTTAATATGATTTTACTTGGCTTAAAATATTCTAGAATGCTCCAGTTCATAATTATGAACAGTGAATTATAAAGCATAAATATATTCCTAAAATTAAGTCTCACAACAAATGATCTGGAGGGTTATCCCCTATTTTAGATTATGTGAGCCATATTAATCATCTTTATACTATGGCAGAGTTGATACTATTATATATATTGGTGGCCATTTTTAAAATGATTGTTAAAACTACTTCCAGTTATTTTATGGCAGACCTGGGAATGGAAGGTTAAGAGACACATGCTTAAGTAGCCTGGGAAGGAAATAATCTGCTAAAGAAGAGGCTATCCTGGGTTGGGGGTGACTGAGTTATGATTCATCTCTAAGTGATAGGAGGAGAAACAAGCCCAGGCAAGCAGGCAGGCATAAAAGAATTCCATGGAATCCAAAGAGTATGTGGCAATCAGCATGATACACTTATCTATAAAGCGAGATCTGTAAGACTGTTTCTTCAGTCTTCCCTGACAGCCCTGGATTCTCCATGGAATCCTGAGAACACAGCTTGAAAACTGCTTATTATACAGGAAAAATAATGGCGTTGCAGCCAGCTGACCTGTGTTTGTCATCAAATTTTGGTACTATTAAATGACTTTGGGCATTTTAACCTCTCTCTATCCAGTTTCTTTATCTGTCACAAAGGTAGTGCAGTAATAACCTACCTCATCCTGTGTGGGGTTTGAATGTGATAATATGTGCCAATCATATGGCACACATTAGGTCTTTAGGACTAGAAAAGGTACAGGAGAACGAGGCAGAAGTTAGAACTAGGAATAAGAGTTTAGTTTTAGGGGATTAAAGCCAATTGTTAGAGCTTGATGCTGAATTATCGAAAACTTAAGTCCCCTCCAATGAAGGACCAGATTAATCTTGGTACTGAGGTTGAGTCTGTAGTTGAGTCAAATGGTCTTAGGTTTAAAGATTAAGAAATCTACAGGGATGGATGACCCCAGGCAGTTCCTTGTCACATTTTTTAGGCCCATTTACAGTCATAATGGTGGTAGGTGTAATTGCTGTGCGATTTACTATCTCACCTGAGACTTTCCACAACACAAAAATAAGCAGTTTGAGAAAAGTTGAAGGTTAGGTTATGTGTAGATTGAACCAGGTCATATGTGCTAGAGTCACAGTTGAAAACTACATACAGGTCGCTTTGTAGTATGTTTACTATAGGTGGTTTTTTTGTTTTTGTTTTTTTTAGTGTCATGGTTAAAAGCTTGGGTCCCACAGTCAGATTGAGTTCCGATTCTGACTCTGCCTTTACTAGTTGTGTGTTTTTGAGTAAGGTTCTTAACCTCTTGTGTATGTCAGTTTCCTTGTCTGTAAACTAGTAAGAATATTAATGGTTCAGACATAAGATGATTGTGAAGATTAAATGAGTTAATACATAAAGTGCTTTGGATGCTGCTTGGCATAAACAAGGCAATAAATGTTACCTATTATTTTTGTTGTGTATGTTTTGTATGTTGTCTCTACAGCAGAATTATAAATTGTTTGAGGGCCAAGATATCTGCTTTTTATCCCTAGAGCCTACATTGACACCATTCACTAAAATAAAAGTGTTTAAAAATAGAAAAAAGATATATGTACTTATTGGGCCCTGACTGCCATACATTTGTCATGATGGCATTTATATCTAAATTACCGTCTTGGATTGACTGATTCTCTTTTGTCCTTACTGCTAAACTTCTGATTCCCTCCCTCCCTCTCTCTCTTTTTTTTAATTCACCACTTAGGGATGCGTGGGTGGCTCAGTTGGTTCAGCGTCTGACTCTTGGTTTTGGCTCAGGTCATGATCTAGGAGTCGTGAGATCAAGCCCCACGTTGGGATTCTCTCTCTCCCTCCCCCACTTAATGCTCACTCACGCTCACTCTTTCTCTCCCTCTTTCTAAAATAAATAAAATCCTTAAAAAAAATTATCACTTAGTGTTGCAGATTCCAGTGCTTCCTGGTACCTGCCCCTTCTCTGTTCCCCAGGTCTCCATCTCCTCCCTCCCTCCTACCTGGTCCCCATGGTGAGACCAGAGGTTTTCAGGATGAGTAAAGGTTGGGCGAAGTTCTGCTGTTCTCCTAGCCCTGATTTTGTTCTCACGGACAGTATTTTTGTGTCCTGTCTCCTCCCAGCTGGTTGTGACAAAATGCATGGGAGGCTGTGGTTGGAGTGTGCCTCTGTAACAGAAGTGCATTGCTTGTGAGCTCAGAGAGTTAGCATTTCAGGCCCCTGCCTTTTGATTCTTACTTTTCCTCGCAGAGGCTGATACCTTTTATTGCTCATTTAAAAAAGTATTAACTACATCAAACATATAGAAAAGTCCAGAGAATAACATTCACCAGGTACCCAGATCTAAAATATGTTAACATTTTGCTACACTTGCCTCAGGTTTTTTTTTTTTTTTAAGATACTTGACAGAGTTGGAACCCATTCTTGTCGTCATCCTCTTCTGTCCTTCCATCAGCAGAAGCAAGCACCAAATGGAAGTTTATGTGTATCCTTTCTGCTCATGTGTTTATTTTTTTTATATGTATTTAAACAATGGTACAGAGCAATAAAAGAGAATTGACTGCTTTCAAAATGTTATTAGTAACATATCAGTAACATTTGTACATAAAAATGTAATATGCATCAATTTGTAGAGTTCCCCTTATGACACTTCATTTTGTATGTTGGGAGTCTGCTAAACTGGGTTGTATTGCTGCCGTGCAAAGGTCTGGGAGCGTATCAGTGAATGAACACATACCAAGTTGTCAAAGCATTACCATTGGTACAGTGAGATGGAACAGAAAGGATGCATCTTAAAAGAGCACAAGGCAATCACATCGGCAGAGGAGGTAGGCAGGCAAATTTGTGTCCCTATTTAGAAAAGTCCCAGGATGTGGAAATGAAGGAAGGCATCCCTCAGAGTATCATCTGTTGCATTCTCTGAAAAGGGAGAATAAAACTTTATTGCTTTATCCTGTTTAAGCCCTCATATAGAGACTTAAAGTAAAATGATACAAGGGAAGTGCAAATAGCTGCCAGTGATGAGGCTGTGTTTTACTGAAGTGGCAAAATGAATCTTAACCTCCATAAATGGGGCACTGAAAACCAACATTTCACAGTTAAACTTGTAAGGGATTTGCTGAAAGTAAATACCTTTTGTGCCATATGAAGCACGTGGGTCTTCATCAGTTCCTTTTTGCAAAAGATACCATCAAAGGGATCTTTTTTTGGACATGATTATGGAACGGTTATTCCTACAGTTGCAAAACGTCTCCAGCGTTCCCATTCTCCCATCAGGATGAGGCTCTGCCTCACTTCCATTAATCAGTCCAGAGGTTCCTAATGTACACATTTCCTCATATGGATTGGACACTGCTCAAAAGGTTGACCTGCTTCGGGAATAGTGGCCTCAAGATCTCCCAGCTGCCCCACCATGTGACTTCTTGTGAGGATGTGTCAAGAACCTCCGTGTTTATACCACTTCTTCCCTGTAGCCTTGAGGGAATACCATTTCAGCTATGAACAGTGATATGTTACAAAGGGCCTGAATGAAATGGGCTGCAGGAATGTGTGCCTCCTGACAAGAAAGGTATATACTGAGCATTTGTAAGAGTATAGAAAGATCTGTGATGGTTCCTTTTGTTTTAATTGCCATATCTAATACTACATTGCAAGAATATACCACAATTTTTTAAAATCCACTTCCTAATTAATGGACATATAGGTGGTTTTCTCATTTTTTCCTCATTTTAAGCAATGCTGCCATGAACATCGGTGAGCACTTGAGGGAAAATTTCTCTAAGGCATATATCTAAAAATGCAATTGACTGTAGAACATGCACATCTCAACTTTACCAGATATTGCCATATTGCTCTCCAAAGTTGTAGTAACAGTTTACCTCATTGCCAGTAGGATTTAAGAATTCTGTATATCCAAATCCTCACCAACACCTGGTATTGCCCGACTTGTAAATTTTTGCCAATCGATGGTTGTAAAACACTGTTGTATGTCATCATTAATTTGTTTTGCATTTCCTTGACCACTCTTCTTTTTGATTCATAAGAACGTTAGGTTTCCTTTTGTTTTAACAATTTGTTAAAACTGTTAAACTCTTTTGCCCATTTACTTTTTCATAGCATTATCTGTCTTTTAGGAGTCTTTATGTATTCTGGATATTAATCCCCTGCTGATTATACATGTTGCTGATATTTTTCTAGTCAGTGAATTTATGTTTTAACTTTGATTTTGATGATTTGTATAGAAATTAATATTTAAAATGTAATCAAATTTGTCAAATTTTCCCTTTATGGTTTGTGTATTTTATATCTTGTTTAAGAAAACCTTGAGATTATAAAGATACTTATTTTCTTCTAAAAATTCAAAATTTTTCTCTTTACACTTAGGTCTTTAATCGGGAATTGATTTTTGTGTCGGGTGACAGGTTGAAATCTTAATTTTTTTTCCCATTTAAATTGTCACTTGTCCTCAAACTACCCATTAATCCATTCTTTTCCTCTTGTCCCTTAGCCAATTTCCTTTACGTATGTGTGCGTGTATTTCCTTCTCTCTCTCCTGTATATTCTCTTTGTTCTTGTACCATTGTCCTATCGTTTTTATTTACTGTAAGTTTATAATAAGTCTTGATATATCTGGCAAAGATAGGCCCCCCTCCCTCAGAATTATCTTTTTATTTTTCCTTCAGAATTATCTTAACTCTTTTTAATCATTTACTGCTCTGTGTGAATTTTAGAGTCAGCTGTACATTCTCTAAGAAACATACAACAGTCCAAAAATTATCTTGCAATTTTGTTTCAATTTACAATGAACCTATAGATTGATTTGGAAAGAATTGGCATCAATGGTTTAGAGTCTTACCGTCTATGCACATGATGTATTTCTCTCCTTAGGTCTTTTTTATGTCCTTCAATAAAGTTTTATGCTTTTCTTCCTATGTATTTTTTTTAATACAGCTTTATTGAGGTGTAATTTACATACCATAAAATTCATCCCACTCTAAAGTTCTTGCATATGTGTTAGATTTATTACCGGGTATCTTTTAGTTTTTATTATGAGATTCCTTATAGTTATTATGAATAGCATCTTTGCTTTCTAAAATTTTTGTCACTGGTGCATAAGAAAGTTCTACCCATTGTTTTCTTGGTTTGGGCTAGCAGGAAATAAGTGTTTTAAGAAATCTGAAAAAGACGGGACTTTTTATTTTCTATCATGAACTAGGATAGGAGAGAAACCCTCATTGCAACATATGATGGTAATGAAAAGGAGAGTTGGAAGCCCAGTCTCAGGAGATTGAAGAAGATAAAAAGGTGACCAGGAACTCTTCAAATCTGAGACATGTTCCTGAATGTTTACACCAGCAGAGAGGAGGCCTGTCTCTAACTCCTCCCTTCCATTTATAATTGGCACCACTCTATACGTTCATACATTTATTTATTCATATTCTTTTTAATTAAAATAGGGAGTTCTACTTTACACTAGGCATTATGCCAGGCATTTGGGATTAAAATTTTTAACTTGGAAAATTGAATTTTACAGAAGAGTGCTGTGAAAAAGACATAAAGTTAACTGGCTAGCCTCTCAACTTAGGCCATCAAAAATGTAACCCTTTCCAAACCTCTTTCACATATACTTTTGTATTTAATCCTCATAGCACTCCTTAATCATTTTTACAGATAAGGAAAGTTAAATTAGGTATTACTGTTCCTGACAAAAAATGTGATTTAACTATAAAATAATAGAATATTTTATTGATTATTAATTACCTCTGATTTTGATTCCTTTTGTATATAGTTCATAATAATTTAAACATCAGTCTTCTTTGAGCACCACATGGAAAGGCATTGAAGAGATCTAAAAAGAATACTGTGAGAGAATCACTAAGAAGGCAGTAACAAAATTCCAGATGTGTATTTCCTACTCCTGATACCAAGGCAGCTACCTTAGTTTGTAGGGTACTCCTTGTGCGTTGTTAGTAATGATAACTGAAAGCTGCTGATAGGCTGAGAGATTTATATGGGACAGAAATTGAAGACATAAAGGAAATATGCAGTGATTAACTGAGCAGTGACTTAAATTTCTACTCTAAGAATCACTTTTTATTCCATTTCAAAGACATTCTCTTTTAAGATTCTGGTCATTTAGCTTTTTCCATCCTTTCAACACACTAGAATGTATTAGATTATGGCATACATGCAAGGTTAATATTATCTGAAGCTTTTTTCTATTTGTAGTCAAGGATTTGAAGATCCTCACCGACGCCGGAAAACATTTCTCCTTCACTAGAAAAGTTTCAAAGGGGAACTATTACTCAAACTAAACAGATTGAATAAATAAAGCTGAAATTGGCATTTCTTCCATGTATGAATAAAAAGTCATTTAATTTTTTTCATTTTATTTTAGTCACTGTATAAATGCCTTGTTTCCTGGGTCCACGGGAAGCATGAGTCTGTTGGGACTTGGGATAAGAAGAAAACAAGACATCTTCCCAAGAAAAACCAGACACTAACAAAAAGTATCCCAAAGTCTGAAGAGCTAGAACACAAACATGGCCGACAGAGGATTTAGGGATCCTGCAGAGGGTAAGACTAGTCTGTACAGCACTGGTTTGTCCAGGTTTGTACTGTAGGAATCTAGATCTATGCTAAGAGAAGATCTCATGATGGAAACCAGAAGTTCGGAAGTAAAAAAGTTAGCTTAATTGATTAGTTTGTTATGATTATTCTTACTCTTTTGTATTTACTGAAGTCCACCATAATATCAGACCCGAATTATAAGGAAGATTAATGTTTTAGAAAAGACTCCAGGAGTTAGAAACCTGTAGTATTGGAAAAATACATGCATCTTAGGGACAATAGACCAATTTTTAGAGCTATATTTTTAAAAATCAAGAAAACCGATGTGCCATCTACTTTCAATTATAGGGAATGATGAAATTTAAATTCTTGCTTGTATATATGTGTAGGAGATATAAAATAGGCAAAATATGAAGTAGATATTTCAGAAGAGGGCATATTTACCTAAACCTTTTATTGAGGGTATTTTAAAATATATAAAAGTAGAGCGCTATGATGAATTTGCATGTACTCAACATTTAATTCCTTTTTTTTAAGTTTTTATTTAAATTCCAGTTAGTTAAAATACAATGTAATATTAGTTTCAGACATACAGTATAGTGATTTCAACATCTAAATTTCAATTATAACCCATATAATGCTGATCTTTTTGTTTTTTAAGATTTTATTTGTCAGAGAGGGAGACTGCACGCAAGCATAAGCAGGGGCATTGACAGGCAGAGGGAGAAGCAGGCTCCCTGCTGAGTAAGGAGCCCGATTTGGGACTTGATCCCAGGACCCTGGGATCATGACCTGAGCCGAAGGCAGATGCCCAACTGACTGAGCCATCCAGGCATTCCTATAATGCTGATCTTGTTGCCTGCCTTGAAATATTTAAATGCAAATCCAAGGCATTTTATAATTTTGTCTGTACATACTTTAGTTTATATCTCTTAAAGATAGATTTTTTTTAAAAAATAACCAAAATAGTATATCACACCTGAAAAATATATTAGTAGTTGTTCTTTAATATCCTAACATATTTAATCAGTATGTACATTTCCCCACTTGTCTCAAATCCTTTTTTTCTCCCTAATCTTTTTTTTCTCCCCACGGTTGGGGTTTTGGTTTTTTGTGTTTTTTTTTTCTTTATAGTGGGCTACTCAATGCATTTGATTGATATATCTTTTAGGTTGCTTTCTTTTTAAGCTTTATTATAGAAAATGTCAGACATACGTTAAGAGTAGAGAAGGAGATGAGATGAATCCCATGTACCCATCAAATGGCTTCATCTGCTGTCAATATATTACTTCATCTATAGTCTTACTGCTTTTACCCATATTCTTGAATTGAGGCAAATTCTAGATACCATGTGATTTTAGCCATGAATATGTGATTCTTATCTCTAAAAAGGATGCTTTAAAAAATTATCACAACATGTTATACTTAAAAGATGAACAGTAATTCCTTAGTATCAGCAAATATCTGGCATTCAGATTATCTGATTATCTCATAAATATTTCTTCAACAATTTGTTCAACACTAGATCTGAACAGTGTGGTCACATATTGCATTTGGTCGATTTGTTTCTTCTCTTTAAGTTTCTATTAATAGGTCACCCCTCCTTTTTTTTTCTTTTTTTGCCATTTATTTTTATTTCTTGCTCTTATTAAAGAAACAAAGTCTCTTGTCCCTGTGAATTTCTCACATTTTGGGTTTTACCGAGTATATGTCTGGGACGTGATTTAATATATTCCTCTATCTGTGTTTTTCACGGAAACTGATAATTAACTCTAGAATCTTGAGCAGATACCAGTGCATTTGTTTGGCAAGAATACTTCATGGGTGGTATAGTGTACTTCCCACTGCATTGAATTGGGAGGTTAATGATGTGTGGTTTTCCTTCTTTCTGTGATGTTAAGATTGATCAGTTGGTTCAGCAGTTCTGTCAGGTTCACTCATTATAAAATTTCTCATCAGCTTTTTGCATAGTGGTTTTAGTTGCTGTTGATGATTATTGCGTAGATGCGTTATTTCACTAGGGAAGAGGATGTATTTAATACAACCAAAAATCGGTTCTGTCATTCAAAATAGTTTTACATTAGTATTACTAGATTTATTAACACATAATAAGTTTGTCTTAATCACCTTTAGTGGAAATCAAGAGAAATAATGTTTAGGAAGAGTGCCTTGTAAACCATCAAATCTATATACATTAAATAATAATACTTATTAATCAGGGACCTTGTGAAACTACAAAACAATAGGGAATTTTTTTCAAGAAAAATTATAAATTTTTATCTCAATAGCCTCTCAAAAGGATTTGGAAAATGACCCATCAATAAGTTCTCAGGCACCGGAGACCTCAGTCCCAGCAAGTACCACTGAGGAAGCTGAGACCCCAGACCCCGCCTCTGGTCTTAACGAAGTCCACCAAGAGGTAGAAACAATAGTTCCAGGAAGTGCAGACACAGATGGCCAATCAGAAAGTCCAGATGGGACCGATTATGGGAACTATCCAAAGGACAAAACAGAACGTGAGAACAACCAGAGTTTTCGGGAAGAGCAGAACCCACCAGAACCCACCTGTTCTCCAAGTGGCAGGGTGGGAAGAGAAGATGCACTCTTAAGGAGCGGCTCTGCAGCCCTGCCTGAGGAGGTGAGCAGCGGACCTGGAGTTTCACCCGAGCCACCTGCCACAGACTCTCAGGATGCCCAGAGCCCTGAGCATTCCCCCGCAGTGCTGGAGAGCCAGGCTACCGTGAGGAGGCGACTGCTGGCACCAGGTGAGGGAGCCC